TACTTTAAGTAATAATCAGCATCTTTCTTTTCCCACTATTGTTATAGTGGCTGTATTGAAGCCAGGAGGGAAGTCTTATCCTCTGTCAGTTTGTGTGAGGGGAGCCAAAGCATTCTTTCAGGTCTGCACCTCATTCTTCTTGATCTAGCACTGCAATAGCAGCACACAAAATTATACCAGAGTTGTAATGTCTACTCTCATATAATCTACAGAAAAAATGGAAAGACTGTGTGATTCATATCTTAATTTTAAATATATATAATTTAAGTATCATAAAATGTGCCCATTATAAGAATATAGTTCAATTATTTCTACAAAATGTGTAGAATTTTGCAATCATCATTACAATCCAATTTTAGAATATTCTCATGCCTGTTTACAATCAATGCTGCTCCTATCCCAGCCTTAGAAGACCACTGATATGCTTTCTATGTCTATCAATTTGCCTTTTCCAGAAATTTTACAAAAATGGAGCCATACAATACATGGTCTTTTTGTCTTTGGTTTCTTTCACTAGGTCCAATGTTGTTGAGGTTATTGACATCTGGAATTTATCAGTAATTTGTTTCTTTTGATTGCTGAATAGTATTCCATTGTATGGATCTACCACATTTTGTTTATCCATTTATTAACTGAAAGACATTTCCAGTTTAGGCTATTATACATAATGCCTCTATAAACATTCATGTACAAATTTTTATGTGGACATATGCTTTCATTTCTTTTGGGTAGGTTCTTAGGACTGGATATATTGGGTTGTAGAGTAAATTTATGTTTATTTTATTACTCAGCTGCTAAAGTGTTTTCAAAGTGACTGTACCATTTTACATTCCCACCAGCAGTGTATGAGGGCTTTTGATTTTCTACATCCTCGGTGGCACTTGGTATTGTCAGTTTTATGGATTATAGCCATTCTAGTGGGTATGTAGTAGTACCTCATTGTGGTTTTAGTTTGTATTTTTCTAATGACTAATGATATTGTGCATCTATCCACGTGCTTATTAGCCATTGTATATCTTCTTTGGTGAAATATCTAGTTATATTGTCCATTTTTAAATTGGGTTGCTTGTCTTTTTATTAAATTGTAAAACTTTTATATATTTTATTATATATACTATTTTAAAATATTTTCTCATGGGAAGGTCACTTGAGCTCAGAAGTTTAAGGTCACAGTGAGCTATGATCAAGCCATTGCACTCCAGCTGGGTGGCAGAACAAGATTCTGCCTGTATAAAACAGTTTTTTTCCTCAGTTGGTGGCTTGTCTTTTGATTTTCTTAGTGATATCTTTTAAAGAGCAAACACTTTTACTTTGATGAAGTTTAGTTTATTATTTTTTTCTATTATGAAATGTACTTTTGTTTCCATAATTAAGAAATTTTTGCTTAGCATACGGATACAAATATTTATCTCCTATATTTTCTTCTAGAACATTTATGGCTTTGGATCTTATATTTAGCTCTGTGATCCATTTTTGAGTTGATTTTTAGAATAGGGTATAAGGTAAAGGTCTAAAATCTTTCAAAAATATTTTGCAATAATTTTAGACTTATAAAAATTTGCAAAAATAGTACAGTAAGTTCACTATACTATAGGCCTTATTTGTATGTCATTAATTTTTACAAGCACTCTTTTCTTCTATGTTTGTAAATGTATATAGTTCTATGAAATTTTATTACATATATGAATTTGTACAACCAATAGAACAATCAGAACGCAGAACTGTTACACGGCACAATGGCACCTCCCTCACACTACCCCTGTATAATCTATTCTCTATCACCATAATTTTGTCATTTTAAAAATGTTATATAAGTGGAATCATATAATATATGAAATTTCCTTCCTCTACCCCAGCCCTGACTTTGCTAATCTGTGTCTTCTTTCTTTGTCAATATAGTACAAGTTTTTTAGATTTTGTTAATCTTTTAAAGAATCACTATTTTGTTTCATTGATTTTTGTATTGTTTCTGTTTTCTTGTTCATTTATTTACATTATGATCTTTATTAGTTTCTTCCATTGCTTGCTTTGTGTTTAATTTTAATTTTTTTTCATTTTTTTAGTTTATAAGTGGGAACTTAGATTTTTTTTTTTTTTGAGACACGAGTCTCGCTTTCCTAGGCTAGAGTGAGTGCCGTGGCATCAGCCTAGCTCACAGCAACCTCAAACTCCTGGGCTCAAGCGATCCTCCTGCCTCAGCCTCCCGAATAGCTGGGACTACAGGCACGCGCCACCATCGCTGGCTAATTTATATATATATATATATATATATATTAGTTGGCCAATTAATTTCTTCCTATTTTATAGTAGAGACGGGATCTCGCTCAGGCTGGTTTCGAACTCCTGACCTTGAGCAATCCGCCCGCCTTGGCTCCCAGAGTGCTAGGATTACAAGCAAGCGGAGCCCCCGCGCCAGCCGTAGATTTTTGATTGATTAAATTGGTTATTGCTTTCAGAACTTTCTTCTTTTTGACATAGGTATATAAAGCTATAAATTTCTCTCTAAGCACTGTTTAAGCTGGTCCCATGATTTTTATTCTTTTTGAGACAGGATCTGACTTTGTCACCCAAAATGGAGTGGTATGATCATAGCTCACTATAACCCTGAACTTCTGGGCTTAAGCAATCCTTTTGCTTCAGTCTATCAAGTAGCTGGGACTACAGGCATGTGCCAGCATGCTTGGCTAATTTTTTTATTTTTGTAGAGACAGAGTCTCACTATGTTTCTCAGGTTGTCCCTACTCCTGGCCTCAACTATCTTCCTGCCTTGGCCTCCAAGTGCTAGGATTACATGCCTGAGCCACGGTGCATGGCACCATGAATTTCTTTAAACTCAATTGACAATTTCTGTCTTTTGATTAGAGTGTTTAGTCTATTCACATTTAATGTGATTATTAATAGGTTGAATTATATCTGTGTTTTGTTATTTTTGTAATTTGTTCACTGCTTTCTTTCCGTTGAACAATTAGTTAGATTTTTTGTTACTCAGTTATTACTCTATTGATTTCATACTTATTATTTTGGTTATTTTCTTAGTGGTTGCTTCAGGGAATACACTATGCATCTGAATTATGCAGTTGATTCAGGTTACTACTAACTTAATATTTAATTTATAGCAACTTTACTCAAATATACTCCTTTAAAAATCTGTTCTATTGTGCTAACTCTGTTCTATATGTTACATTATATATGGCATATTTTCTTCTTATATAATCTTATGTGTTTAAAGAAATTAGGAGTATAAAACAAAAGTGGTTTTTGATATTTACCTACATATTTACCATTTCTAATGTATTTCATTTTTACTGTGTATTTGGTTGTTACCTGGTATCATTCCTTTCAGCCTGAAGGAACTTCCTTTCATCTTTCTTGCACTGCAGATCTACTAGCAACAATTCTCTCAGTCTTTTTTTTATTTGTTGTTTAAATGCAGTGACTTTATTTTGTCTTCATCTTTGATGACAGTTTTGCTGGATATAGAATTCTTGGTTGTCAGAATTTTTTCCTTTTAGCACTTTGAATATGCATTCTTCTGTTTTCCGGTCTCCATTGTTTCAAATTGGAAGTCAGCCATTAATTGTATTGCTGGTCCTCTTATGAGTTTTTTTCTCTCTGCTTTAGATTTTCTTTTTGTCTTGAACTTCAGCAGTTTTACTATAATGTGTCTAGCTGTGGATCTTTTTGTAATGATCCTACCTTGTGGTTTATTGTACTTCTTGAATCTGTAAAGTAATGATTTTCATAAAATTTGGGATACTTTTGGTCATTATTTCTTCAAATAAATTCTGCCCTTTCTCTCTTTCTTTTCTCCTCATATGGGGAGAGGGTGACAGGACTCCTGTTATGCATTTCAGATTGCTTCATATTGCCCCATAACTTTCAGAGGCTCTGCTCATTTTTCCTTGATCTTTTTTCTCTCTGTTTTTTCAGGTTAGGTCATTTCTATTTCTCTATCTTTGAGTTCTCTGATTCTTTTTCCCGCTCTCTCAAATCTTCTATTAAGCCCATCTAGTGCATTTTTCATTTTAGTTCCTCTACTTTTCAACTATAGATTATCCATTTGGTTCTTTTTAAAATAGAAGTTTCTATGTATTTATTTCAGTCCCATATTTATTGATTGCCAATTTTTCTTTAATTATCCAAACATGGCTTCTTTTAATTTTCAAAACAATATGTATAATATCTTCTTTGAAGTCTTTTCCTGCTGGATCCGCACAGAGTTAGTTCTGTTGACTGCTTTATTTCTAAAGTGTGGGTTACACTTTCCTATTTTATGCATGGCTTGTAATGTTTTGTTGTAAACTGGACATTTTAGTTATATCATAGCCAATCTGCAATCTTTTTTCCCCCATGAGAAAATTTTTTGGTAAATTATTTGGACGTAATCCTTTTTTTCTGTGCTGCAACTGATATTTCTTTACAGTTTTTTAAAAATTTTTGTTTTTATTTTTTATCTTGACTTCCTAGGGTTTGCCTCTGAGTCTGCATAGCTTAGTGATCAGCCAATAATTGTTCAGAGGTTATATTTTGAATGTGTAAGTCTTCCCTTTCTGCTCATGGATTTCTGTGTGGATTGATAAACATATTTGGTTTTGTGGCAATATTTAAGTCTTCTTCACTTTTTCCTTTCCTCCTGGCCTCTTAGGTCCTGTGTTTGTTTGTAGCCTCCTAGTTAGCCAGTTATATGTAAAGAACTCAACCTATATTGGGTCTCCCTTGCATGTGTACATAGCCTGCTAGTCAGCCAGGGCTGTGTGGGAAGCTTATATAACTCATTTTATCTCTCTCTAAGTGCCAGAATCTCCTTATTGAAATATTTGGCTGATCTGCCAGTCTGTTGATTGTCCTAGTGAGAGCTGCAACCTTAGGCTAGCACAACTGTGGTTTATTAACTGGTAAATTCATGGAAAAGATGTGGAAGAAGTTTACTAACTGGTAAATTTATGGAAAAGATGTGGAAGAAAGAATAAAGAAAAAAATGCAAATACTTCCATACTTACATGTCCAGAAGTAATTATATTCAATAACTTGATTCTAGGGTATCAACTCTGATGCAAGATGCTCTCTTCCTAGTTGGCTTCCATAGGGTATAACATTGGGTCTTTGGCATCCATGAACCATATACCAGGGCAAAGATCCGAGGGGAGATGGCAGAGAAGTATGAGTAGCTTGATATTTGGACTCAAGTTTGGAACTTTGGTTTGGAGCTTTGATTACACAACAATAAAGAATATCAGCAATAGGGGAAGAGCTAGCAGGAGGAGAGTAGAGGTTTAATGATCATCCAGGCCATCAACTTCTGAGTTTGGTAGACCAGGAAAAGAAAACAAGGCATAGGAAATTAAATTTTATTCTATAGTTTTGTGATTATTTGGTAAATTAGTTAAATTCATACCTAAGTCTTTTGGTTTTGAGTTTTTATTCTTTCTATTATGCCTGGTAAAGACACAAGAAAAGCACACGTTTTTGTAGAGCCATAAAATTGTTCAGCCAAAAATGACCTCAAAGAATAATGATATCCTTCAATAATGAATTTCTGATATAAGTATAATCTGATGTCATTATTAGCAACCCCTAAATCAGCCAGCACCTGTATGCCTGATATGTTTATATCACTGTGATAAGTTCATTACAAATAAGTTATTAGTATTTTCATTTTAAAAAATTAGGGGCTGGGCATGGTGGCTCATACATGTAATCCTAGCATTTTGGGAGGCGGAGGTGGGAGGATCACTGGAGGTCAGGAGTTTGAGACCCGTCTGAGCAACAGGCAAGACACTCCCCACCTCACCATCTGTACAAAAAATAATAAAAAAAATTAGCTGGATGTGGTGGTGAGCAGCCTGTAGTCCCAGCCTCTTGGGAGGCTGAGGCAGGAGGATTATTGGAGCCCAGGAATTTGAGGTAGTAGTGAACTATGATCATACCACTGTACCCTATCCGGGTGACAAAGTGAGACCCTATTTAAAAAAAAATTAGGAAAGACATTGAAAGATTTAGTGATTTGTCCAAGAGCTCCCTGATAGTATAATATTTATAATAATAGAGCTGGGATCCAAACTTTTATCTGTTTGAATTCAAAACCTGTGCCTTTAATTATCCCGTTATAATGCCTCACATAATGTGAGTGAAAGTACCTAACTCTGTGCCTGTCAGGTTTTAATACCATATTGGAATCATTTTATTGTGCCTGTGTCACTCATTCTCTACTTAAATATCTCTAGGCATGGGAAAATCACTCCTTCATCAAGTAGCCCTTTTCCTCATCTGACAGCTTCTGGTGTTAACAAAGTTTTCTCATGTGGAACTGAGCAGCATGTTTCTGCTTTGGGCACTTCCATAATGTTTGGCTTTCTGGATTTACACAGAATAAGTCAGCTATCTCTACTGTATGAAAGCAAGGTATCTTTGGCTTTTCCTTGGCCAGGCTCTCAATTTTTTTTCCCAGCTAGTTTAAAAGATCAAAATTACTTTCCATCTTTGTACTTTTCTTTGCATGCACGCCAGATTATTAGTATCCTTTTAAGACTATTACAGCTGAAAATATAGTATCATAAGTAGGATACTAGTAAAAATAATTATAATTACTGCTTATTAAACTCTTATTATATTATATGCATAGTGCAAAGTCCTTTATGTATCTTTACAACAACAGTAGTTGAAGAAATTTAGACTTAGAGTGGTGTTTCATCTGTCACTTCTACAACTAATAAGTGACCACTCAGATAGAATTTGAACTGGGGTCTGCTTGACTCCAAACTCTTCCCTATGCTGCACTTGACTGGCTTGGAATGCAGTGCGGCTATGTCACTTCCTGTACTCTGGATGTTCTGGTTCTATTAATTTAGACTAAGATTGCATTAATCTTTTTGGCAGCAGTATCATAGCACTGACTTATATTAAGCTTGTATTCAACTAAAACCAACAAACCTTAATAAGATCTTAAATATACGAGTTTCTGTTGGTTAGGCCTTCCCATTTTATGTAATCAATTTTCAGTATAAATGTAGGACTTCATGTTCACGTTTTCACTTTCCATTTTGGGGATTTCAGCCTAACTTTGTAGATTGCCAAGATAATTTTGATTTTTTAGTCTGTCATCTATGATATTAACTCTTCCTCCAGATAGATATATGACCATATGTATCTTTGATAAACGTCCTTGCTTTGTGTTTATCTAGTCATTGATACAATTTCAAACAGATTAGAGGTGGAGAATAAAGAATCAATAGAGCATATCTATTTTTTCCCCAAATATTTTGAAATGTACTTTTCTAAAGTTTAGGACATATGTTTGGCCATGTTCACAGTTTTCTTTTCTTACTGTTATTAATATAAAGATAATATGGTCACTTTATTTCAAGGTTCTGGTTGGAATGATGTCAAGGATATCAGTTATAATTGTTGTTTCCGCTGCATTCTGAGCATTCAGAGCAAATGCTCTAACATTTATTAGACAGGAAATAGAGAGTTTAGTAGATGTTCTACTCATCTACATTGACTCCTATCAGAAGATATCATAATAATTGAAATTCTCCTTCACTCTTTATGGCATGCTTTGGTACAAGTTTTATAATCTTTTCTGTGAAAACATCATCCATATTTCTTTTCCATATATTCAGTATGGTATACCACTGTAACAGTATAATTGTTTTTATTTTTAGTTACTCCCTTTCATTGTTTAATGTAATTCTACTATTAAGCTTCTGAGTTTCCATATAGGACTAACTTCTGGCAAGAGTGCCGGACTTGGTTTTGAAACTACCTGGACTTGAGGACTGACCAGGCTATATGAACTTGTGCAAGTCACTTACACTTTGTTAACCTCAGTTTCCTTATATATAAGATAGGGGTAATAATATTATTGTTTATCATTTAGGATTACAAAAACAGTTAGGATTTAAAAAACAGGTAACTATTAGTAGCTTATATAAAAATAGCGCATTTGTCTCATATAACAAGAAAACAAAAGATGGGCAGTATCCATAAATATGGTAGGTCAATAAAGACATAGGCTCTACATTTTTCTGTTCAATATTCTTAGTATGTAATCCTTTGCTGTCTTGCTTCTTGACTTATGGCCACGAAGTAATTACTGTAACTCTGGGTCTCATGTCTATGTTTCTGTTCTATATTAAGAAATAGAAAGGACTAAAAGGCTGAAGGGAAAAACTTTTTTATTTTTTTGTCTCGGTGAGGCTCTGTCTTTTAACTGGGCAAAGGAAGTCCCCTTTTGGGATGTCTGCCTGCAGCTCATTGGCCAGAACTATGTTACATGACCACCCTTTGCTGCAAGGAATGCTGGGAAATTACATGTGTAGGTGTTCAGTCTCTATAATAGATGAAGGCAAGTGAGAAGTGATTGTGTTTTAACGTTTTGGATCAGCCAGTCAACAATGTTTGCCACATACTTTGATAGGATTGTTAGGATTCAATAGGACAATGTAATTAAAAAGTTTTGTAGCATGTAATTTAAATAAATATAAACTGTTATTCCTCTCGCCTTCTATTTGATGGTCGTAAAAACTAGAGTGCATTCTTCAACTAATTTATCCTAATTTTGTATTTAAGTTCCAGAAAATGTATTTGATTAGTTATTTATGTTAAATGAGTTCACTTTATTGCTCATATTCTAGAAATTGGTATAAATATGTGAAGGCATAATACTGCATTATTTTAAATCATCTTTCCTGTTTTCATCTAAGAATTAGTGAGGGCTGTTTTCACATCTGGCTAATCTTTATGTGCCATACATTCTTACCCTCATAGTCATGGGTTTGTATTTATGTCTGGGCTTTTCTTTTAGAGACCTTAAAATAAATACTACTTGTCCAGAACAATGTTTCACCCTTCATGTCACATGCCCTGTTTTCTCTTAGGTGCTATTGAGTATTGCTTAAAGAGCCAGCTCTTTCCTATTGGTGCCATTAACATGATCATTAGTTTTTTTCCCCTTTTAAAACTATTGTCAACAGTGGCAGAGCAGTTATTTTTAGCTCCATCTTCTAAAATCCTTCAGTTTGCTATGCAAACCTTTCTAGAGTTTCTAGAATTGCCATGTAGATTGCTGCTGGTGACATCATTTGTTCCTGTGAGAATCAGTTGAATTATATTTTAATTTTTAAAAATTAACTTCAGGGCATGAGAGTTAAAAAAATAACTTCAGGGCATGAGAGCTGCCTACCAGTTGGGAAGCATTGTGTATCAATGTTTCTTTTTGAGGAAGGCTGTTTTCTGAAGAGTACATCTCCTTTGAGTGAAAATCATACTGAAATATGAAAAGTGGCTTATCAATAATGGGAAAATAATTGGGGAAGATGTAGATCTGCAGAGTGACCCCTCTTGCTCTCCTCAGTGACTCACAAAATATTTCTGGATTTAAAGAGTGATTACTGAGTCAGAATGAAGCTACATTCTTAGAGGTGCATGAAAAATAGCAGGAGAAACCCTGATTAGGTGACCTATAGAATAACAGTCCTAACATGAGCTGAGTGGGCTAGCTGGCAAGTTAATTTAAAAATAGGCCAAGTATTCTGAGTACACATGCTGGAGCTATCACGTGGCCCTGTGACATGAGGTAGAGGAAATGACCTTCATACTCACTAATATTCAAAGTTGTATTATTTTTCCTATGGAAAATAATAAAAGATGTTAACAAAAGGCTCCAGGAGATAAATAAGTCCTGGAGGTGAGCTGGGAAGGAGAATGGAGGAGTGAGAATCTCAAATGATGTCAAAGAGAGCTAAGAAACAGAAAAATCTATGAAGAATTTGGAAATGACCAGATGAAATTGCAGGATGTGTCATGGAGTTGGAGACCCTTCTGGTTTATTATTTCTGTATCTCTTCCGTCTGATAAAAATTCTAGTTGCTTAAAAATTCTGTCATTTTTTGTGAAACAAGACTTTGATGTGTGTATGGTTTTTGTTTTATTTTAGTTTTTGTTTTTACTGCCTGATTTCTTTCTTTCTTTTTGTAGATATTGTTCGAAGTGATGTTGCCTTAGATAAACAGAAAGGCTGCAAGATTGCCCAGCACCCTGATGTTATGCTGGAGCTCCAGAGAGAGAAGGCAGCTCAGATGCATCTGGTTCTTCTCAAGGAGCAATTCTCTAATACTTACAGTAATCTTATATTAACAGGTAAGGCTATCGGAGTCAGCTGAAGTCTTAGAGCATTTAGTTACTAACTTGATGCTTGGGGGACACTAGAGTCGGATCCAGATGAGCCCACGTCTGTCTTTCTCCACCTACTATATCACCTTTTAAATTGCAATGACTTGTTTTTCTATAACAAATATTTCTTGTAGTTTGCAGATGTATTTTGG